CATAACTATATCTATACGTATATGTACAAGTACAAGTGATGTATCAAAATTTTGAGGTATAGGTATATATTTAGATCTATATGTATACTCATTATATATATATATACATGTGTGTGTGTGTGTGTGTGCATATTTTCGGGTGTGTAATGTACGTGCGTGATCAAAAAGTTAGAGAATATGTGTTTGTTTGTGGAGCATAACTATAAATAGTGGGTGTCGGTCTGTATGATGGTTCTCCTACCGAGAAGGAGCGGTGTAAACCACCGGACCTCATCTGCTGCTACCCGAGCCCATTTCCGGTCCTATACGATCGCGGCAATGGTATAGCCTAGGGCATATGTCTATAGATTTGTTTATGGTGCGATAGTTTGTGGTTGTGTGTGTGAACGTACTCTACGCGTGTGGAGTGTAAATCTTTTTGTGTGTGAGTATGTGTCGATTTTACGTCGATTGTATGAATATGGTGTGTGTTTATCTCTGTGATGGTGATCACGATCAAAAGGAGCGGTGTAGACCGCCGAATACATTCGACCGCCGAATACAATCCCAGGGCTGTGTCCAGTACATGTGTTTATTTATCTTTGTAGCTTGAATTTGCAACACAAATACACTTCCTAGTACACGAACTAAATATACCATCTACTTCTGTCTACAGGCACGTGGTCAAATCCAAGCCTTTGTCCTCTGGGAGACAACTGCCATCTGTAAGTATTACAATTGTATGCGTGGCTATGGCGGTAGAATAATGTACTTTCTATACAGTCTACTGGCTCATTCTAGCCCTGTGTAATGTTGAAGTGGTGTATTTTTGTTCCTCTGCATTTTGTACTTGCTTTCGCTTGAGCTCTATGTGATTGATACGGGGCATAAATCGTCATTTGTGTTGATTTCTGGGCCATTTTAGTGCATGTGTGGTTGGAGCGCAGTAAAAATGAGCACCATACATAAATCACTTGTTGAGCCTATTGCTGTAGTTTTGGAAAGGGTAAGTTAAGGATCGTTTCGTGATGTATAATTGCTTAGTACATGTTATAGCCTTGCTTAGTACATGTTATAGCTGTATCGATGAATTGGTGCATGAGAGGCTCACCTATGTATCATGCTTGCTGAGTCTAATGCAATATATGGTGTAAGCGGCGCATTAAGGGTCGTTCATCAGGAAGTATATCTGGTGCATAGTCCAATTACATTGACAAGTATCACCTATCGAACAAGAAACTACACTCCTCAGTACCTCACATCTGCTTCTACATTTCAGTAAAATGCCAAGTTTAACTCGGTATATGTACCTTCCGTCCCCCTTCTCATGCTTCTAAGCATACAACCATCAGTAATTATTCCTACCGAACATCACTCATACCATTTATCCGGTCCACACTTCAATAATAGATAAGTATATTTCCCCCTTTTTGTGACTTTCATGTAATAAAAAGATATGCTATGCACACCTATTTCTCCCACTCATAGCTTACATCCGGTCCCACACTTAGAAAGCAAGCACTTTCCGGTACCCTCTTGTGGCTTCTAAATATATATTTTGTATATAACACCTAGTCTCCACCCGGCTCATATCTCAATCAGAACTACACTTTAATAAAAAGTAAGCCTATTCCAGTACATTTGCCTTCCATCCCCCTTCTCGTGACTTTGACCTATACAGCTATCATATATTTCAGACCCAACTCCACCTCCTATACCTTATATCAGGTCCCATTCCCTGATGGAAGTGATGTACCACAAAGACAAGTACAAGACTAAGTCCTGTGAACGCTGGGCGAAGCCTGGACTGCAGTGCAGTTGGGGACCTCGTTGTGCCTATCAACATGGGGACAATGATCTGCCAAACGCTGCCGACAGATACAGACAGGGCTCCGACTCGCCACCATCTAATATACACCAGAGTGGTGAAACGGAGATGGTAGGATAAGAAGATATATGTGTACTAGTATACGAGTGTTTCTGCTTATTGTTTCATTTATGAATGCCCACCTGGTTTGCAAAAGCAATTCTTATGTGCAGGATTCAGTTGATATGCATTGTGATTGTGGTTAACTGCGAAGTTCTATCGTTCAGCACTCTTCTTGTCACTGCACAATATTAATGCGTACCTTTCCCTCACTGAAAACATACATGTGACGAATTCGACTGCATATACTGAGATACCTTGCTCCTAATACTTTCCACCACAAAAGGCTATGTTTTGGCTAGAGTTTCACAATACTTACCGTTGACATTTCGAGCGCGCAGTTTCTTATCAAACATTCACAGTTTACAGTCACCATTTGACCTACATAATCGGTTGTGGCTTTACCTCGAGTCTCGAAGGTTAAGTAGTGTGCAGAAAAAATTCCTTGTCAAGCAGCATATTTGATCATCTTAGCTTCTTGCGATACCCAATCGGCTGTATTACAGCGAAGATACTATTGAGTTGTGTATAGAATACGTGTATGTCTGCTGTGTAGGAGAGAGTGTAAAGTGTGTTTCTTTTGCAGTGAAACATCGCCGGGCGTATGCGACTATTCAGATTGAATGGTCCAAAGTGAAGTATATATAATTGTACTGCGCGCTTATATCTTTTAACTTCATTGTCATATCCAAAATTGTTTCTCCTCAATTAAATAAACCTATTATCGTATTATGCAATAGGCTTAAATGAATACCTGATTATCTGTGTTTCCGACACTCATTTCGGATTTAACTCCGCTCAGATCCTGACGAACATGTCGGTCACCAATGGTGCTAGAGGCCAGCTACAGAGATCATCAGGTATCGTTTAAGATGAAATACAAACTATTTGTCAATCTTGAAGTGTAATCAC